AAAATATTTAAAAAATAACATTAAGCTATGACTAAGTATATGTCTAAAGTCTGTTACGTCCATTTTCGTAAGCGAAATGATCAACTAACTGGTCTAATTCCTATTCTAAGTCAAGGGCAAATAACTCGTCTGAAACCTATTCTCTTTCATAAGATATAATAATAACGGGTTGGAATTAAGTAATTGCGATCAACGTTCCACGTTACAGGCGCCGGTGTGTAGGACCGGCGGCTGACATCTATTCGCCTACAGGTATATGACTGCAGAGATAGAGAGAGAGGCGCCTATATCATAATGTATGAGTGAGTTTAATGTCCACTCAACACAAGCATCCCCCATCTCTTACTAAATATGCCACATATGTCACCCACTTTGGACAACAGAAAATATTGAATTTTCGTTTGCATAGTAAAAAAGAGCGAGTGATATACCAATAGAGTTGTTCTGATTTTTTGACAGCCTGTTTGTGTGTTCCCAATAGATTGATTCCATTGTCGAAGATCTGTACAGCGAAATGGCCTCAAACACATTATTACGACACCCTGGTGGCCATTAATAATGAAAATATAAGTTGAAGACAGGGTGTATTGCATACCGAATATATAACGGTCGGACTAGATACAATATTATAGCGTCGACTTGGTCCCCGCTTCACATTGATTCATAGAACTACAATAATAGTATTAAAAATTCTTTGATTCATTGATGCTTTGTGCAAATAAAAATAGCACCAAACGAATAATTCTCAACACATATCGTCATAATTTGTATTGAAATAAAAGCTTTTACCAGCAACAATGAAGTTTTAATAATTAAAACAGTCACCGAACAGTTTTTCGGTGTGGCAATGCGTTTTACATTTTCGAAGCGACATTTGTTATATGCACAAATCATTACCCACGTCAAATCTCGGGTTGTGGATTAGTTTATTATTTGATAAGCTATGTGTAGTACCTGTAGGGTGCAAACAAACTTGCAATCTGATTAAAATACAGATCTATATTTCGTTTCGTTTTTTTTTATATATATATATATGTATTCCGATGGCCTCCACTGTATAGTGAAGACAAGTAAAACGAAATTTTGAACTATAAAAAACGAAACGAAATAGGATCTATGCTTTAATCAGATTGACAAACTTGCGAAGCATTTCTGCCATTTTGGCCCAACTTTACTCTAATCATATACATGTATGCATCTAAATGTGCAGAAATCTTGTCTCAGAGCTTCTGATTTTATAAAACCGTCGGGTAATATCCCAGACCTCATGTCAAACTTTGTAATCAAATAAAGGCCTTAGAACCTTCCACTACGGTGGCTAGAGTTAGATTTACCACTACCATCAGCAATGGGACCATTTCAAGGACTAACCAGGTTTAGCCCACAAAATTGTTGTTCTAAATGTTTGTTGATAAAATCCGATAGAAGAAAAGTCATGATGTTATTGCAAATAAATATCAATTTCTATGTCTGTCATCGTGATTGTGTGTTTTTTTTCTCGGACAAATATATCCGGGAGATGCAGTGGCTCGCCTCTTTTTTTGTCTATTCTGTATTTGGGTGTAGCTTCAATATTTATATTATTTACTGACTTTATGTCATGTCAAATCATGTGATTTAAGGGGCGATGGTCGTCAGGAAAAGTCACACCTTATCCATCCCTGCCATATTGCGCAAGTTTGTTTTATTGTTTTTGTTTACCTGAGACAGTGAATTCATAATTTTGAAGCACTTAAACATACATTATGCAAGCGCCAAAGCTGCCTCTTACAGGTCTTTCTTTAGGTCTGAAATGTTATACAAACTATTAATTAGACATTTATTAAGAGAACAAGACCATAATCAACTCTCGATAGCATCGGATACTCGAGATTTTAACTAGATGAGAATGGTTCGCCATTTAAAAATTTAATTTAAAAATGGGAAAGCGAGGCGAAGTCTCGAATATACCAGTACACTGGTTACCACAATGCACACATCTTGCCAAAACTACAAATAGTGGTAACGTGGCTCAGAATGAAGTAATTTGAATGAAATTTTCAATATTTTCATTTTACATTATCTATTTTGGGGCTATTACAGCAAGAATGGTTAGCTCTTTATCTAAATCTTGTATAATGTATCTTTAAACGTTTTCTATTGTGTATTTAAACTAAAAAGAATCACTCTATGTCCTACCAACATACAAATGAAATGAAATGGGGTTTAACGTCCTACTGTTTTGCTCCAAATTGGGCTTATGAAGACGGACATACGCCATACAGTGTGCTATATGAGGGAAATTTTGCCCGGACAGCGGCACTACGGCCTACTCTTATCTCGAATTCCAACTGTCAAGGGATATTTTACGTGCATGCCAATGTGTATACGAGACCTCGGTTTTTCGTCACATCCGAACGACTAGACAGCTGTTCTTGTCAAGCCCTCCTCCGTCCATTATCACTGACACGGGGGAAGCAAGCAGGCAAATCTGGATGAACTTTCTCGGCCAATGCAGGGATCGAACACCCGACTTCCAGGCTAGCGAACCAGCGTCTTACCCACATAGCCACCGTGATCTCCTACCAACATACAAACCATCGCAGCAGCTAATAAAAGTTGTCGTGTACGAGGAAGGGTATTCTGTCTAGAATACTTAGCAAACCAACAAACATTTTTCTTGTTGAACGTTTGCATCATCTATTTGTTGCAGTTTTGTTTTGATCTAGGTTAGTAAATTAGATCAAACCTATCCATACCAAACTGTTTCCGGATACGGGTATTGAATTGTGAGGTAGTGTTGTTTTGGCATTTGAGTCTTGATAGTCTTCTGACCTTTTGGACAATACTGTACAGTTTGTCAATAACATGCCGACACAGATTTGCTTACAAGTGTGACAAATGACTTTTTGTTTTAAAGATGTCTGTGTCAACAATGAATTTTTTTACACCAACCCGTAACAATCTCGCCGGGTCACGCACACCGCCTTGTTTTCAGTTAACGTCTGCTCTTTATGCTGTTAGTTTACAAGTCACTATGCGAATAATTCACAATCACCTAGATTTATTTTCTTTGCTCTTCTCTTTTCCCAAGATCTTACAATTTACATTGCAAGTCTATTGGACTTGCGTATGTTTTGGGCAATGCGCCCAATTTGTCATTGTTTTGGTCATTGGTTTTCGTACATTTTCTGTTTGTGTTAAAAGGGCGATTCAGACGTCTGTGTGGCAACATTCGAGAGATGAAAACAGTCTGGCAGATGCAATTGCTTCCCGGAATGTTATACCCAAGGAGTGTTCCAACTTCCGACAAGACCGTCTTAACGTATGGATACGCTGGACACTTGGCCATGGGTCCCACAATCAAATGAGCCCCATGCTAATCTATATATGTTGAGACTTGCTGTTTGAACACCCGATTTTGTTGTGAATTAACGCCAGCTCGACACAATCTAGTCATTTCGGAACTAACATATGGTTCAATTTTATTTCAAAAATTCGCTTACGCGTAGGGGCTTTAGCAGTGGGAGGAAACCGGAGACCCCACAGAAAACCCACGAGGTTGGACAGACTCAATAACAGGCCTTATGGTACAACGCGCACGCGCTACCCCCCCCCCCCCCCCCGATTTTGTTGGAAGTACCAAAACAATAGATATATGTTTAATTCTATAGATCATTTATCTACATTCCAGTGTACTCCTTTGTGCGGAGGTCACGATAGATCAGTGAGAAAGATTTCATACTTTAGATTGTACGACGGTCTTTAAATCCTTCTTTACAATTCAAAGATGCAGATTCTTAACATGAACGTTTTGCCATAAGGTGCGATGTAGGGCATCAATCTGTTTCACAGAGATCTTCTAATAGCTCTGTAACAGATGACTGTTTCAACACGTGACGTCACATCACGCGGCGTCAATCATTGGCTCAATAGCGCGTGCATTGTTTACATAAGATGTTACTGATTCGGGCTAAAAGGTGAATTTTAATTATTTTAATACCCATTTACACTAAATAGGAAATGATTTCTACCTACAAATAATTCAAACGTCTTTATTTATTTTTCTAATAAATGAAAAAGTATGTTTTAGAATTTAATTTGACGGAAGAAAAAAGTTAATATTTGGGACTCATTAAGTCGCATCGATGTCATCCTTATCAGTGATTGTTGCGGCCTAGCGAAAATTCACTGCTGATCAGTGTGGTAGGGCATTTGAGGAGCTGGGATAAATGTATACTCGATCGACAAAAACCGGGTCATTTCATGACTAACATGTATTTTTCCTATAATTTGCTTGTGCATAGTGGTCTTTGGCAGTGAGGGAAACCTGGGATAACCCAAATGTCGGGGGCAGGTGGATCCTTTTCCATGTCACACACATACGCCTGGAATCGAAACCACTTCACTCGCACAAGGGACACACATTGGTAGTCACAATACGACAGATTTAATCAGGTTTTCAAATTTACAGAACAATATATTTTAAGGTCTCGCCAGAACAATAATTCGGGCATTTTGAAACAGACATGCGGTAATTTATATGTACATGTCAGACAGGAGAATGTTGCTTAGACCGTGGCATTCCATCTTCTCTTTTACGATTTCAAACTGTCAAAGTTTATTTTATATTTTATGCCAATTTGTACACGGGGCAACGGTTTGTCATCCTTTCGGATATGACAAGGGTAACCAGACAACTCGGATCAACTGAAGACCACTCGGTCCAAATACAGAAGACCACTCGGACCAAGATAGAAAATCACTCGGACCAAGATTCAAAGATCACTTGGACCAAGACACGGTCCGAGACAGAAGACAACTTGAAGTGGTCTATCAACTGATCCGACTGGTCTTGTTTCGAGTAGTCTTTGGTCCGTGTTGTCATACAATCCTGACAAGTGGAGACAGGGCTTGAAAATCCCGAAGATGCTTCTCTCCCCACGCACCCCATGATTCGAACCAGTGTTCATACCACACAACCACCACCTCCCTTCAGAATTAGAAAGCACTGGCTAAAGTTGAATGTAAACAATTTATTTATTAAATATTTATATATATATATATATCAAACATTTTATTGCAAAAGAACTAATATCATACTACATATCACACATTCCTTATCTCACTCATTCATCATACTTATATTTATAAATACATACATTGATATATGATGTAAGAACACATTTACTGTAATGTTGGGTATTTCTCCTATATTAAAATTTCTATAAATGAACATTTAAAGGGTACTACTTCAGATGACTCTAAGCTTAAGATTCTTTTGCCAGATTCGAGTCAGAAGAAACACAATTTTTGGTCTAAATCCGTCACCGTCTTCATTGGCGCAGACACGTAGTACGTTAAACCCCATTTCATTTCTGAATGCACCAGACACAATTGCAATAATTCTGAATCTTAAGAATTCAAAGGGCGTAAGCACGAATCTGGATGCAGATTTAAAGATTGGCTAGAATCAGAGTGGGTTCCATGTCTGTTAAGAATCTAAACTGGGTTTGGCTGATATTATACAGTTGTTTTGGGTTACTTCACAAACTGATGCTTGTGTCAGACTTTTGGATTTTATAAAAAAGTTTGTTTTTTCTAAACGTCTTCTACACTGTAAAACTGAGCAGATCTGTGACAGGCATGTTAGCATGTTCGCACGTTTACAGTTTTGTTCATTTGGACAATTTGCTTGCACCGTCTATCATATCAGTTTTGATTCTGAATTGTGCACGAGAAAGATAAATAATTCACAGTTATAAAAAAAATATGACTTTAAACATAAACTTTGTATTGTAAGATGTCTTTCAATGAAATAGCGACTGCACGTCAGTTTTTAGATTTCATTTTTAATCAACCAGTAGTGTTATTATTTTTGTTTATATCGTCTTCTTGATATATGGGATTTACTTTCGTTTCACTTTTGTTTGATAATGTCGGAGAAGGTCGTCCTCCTATTTCATGGGCTGCCTGGAGCAAACGACCACCAGAGATTTGTGACACATGTTCATTAGAATTATCTGCTGCTGAACCTTGACCTTCAGGAGATGAACTTGTTCTTGGGGAATTTACCATGTAAATGTCGGACTGACTTTCTTCTGGATTGGACAAAGAGGTCAAAATTTCAGTTAGTTCTCCAGGATCTTCGAAGCCATGAGAAGTATCAGCAGCATCTTGAGAATGTTGACTAGTGGCCCCACCATCGTCACTTAAATCTTTATCGAGGCCGGACTCAAAAGATTGGTTAGCCGCATTGCTGTCTAATTCAACTCCATCATCTTCAAACGCTTCATTAACATTTCCACCATCCACATCATCAACGCTCTGGTCATCATCAGTACCAATCTTTTTATCCGAACCACAAACTCCGCTATCACTACTATTATCACTTCTATGAGATATAGATGCTGGTATATCTGCCTTAGCTTTATGACGTCTTTGGACCTTTTCAAAGAGTTCTTCAACTCGAGATCGGGGGACGATACCAATACGGAAGAAACCTAGTTTACCTTCTTCAATCTTTCGGCAATCAACCACAGTGGATGCAGCATTCTCTGGAGATGGGCCAGCACATAAAATACCATCACACTAAAATATAAAAAAAACCTCTTATTATTTCAGTTAATACATTGGTATGTTAAGAATTTTTTTTATTAAAGATTATACTAAAATGCTAAATGCTAGGCATCCTCTTCCTGTCCTCGCACATTAGAGCTCTGGGCCACTGAAAGGTTGAATATACCAGGAAGGCTTTTCTATTGAGACTTGAATCGAATTGACAACTTACGTTTTTCAATCCAAGTTTAGCTAGAACTTGTAAATGATGAGTCGTATCAGCTTCACCAGTGGGATTAGCTGAACTAACAGCTATCGGACCAGTTTGATCTATAAGATGTGAAGTAACGGTATTGTCTGGCATCCTGACAGCAATACTATCAGGTCTTCCTATGTATTTTTCTGCGAAATCTACTCCCAAAGTCTGTAACCATGGTCCTGTAAGATACAAACGAGAGGTAAATGTAAATATTATGCCATTAACGTTTCGACATATTTCAAAATTCGAGTTCGGATTTGAGTATCCTGTCTTACAATCTGATAAAAAACTCAGATTTTTATCCGGTTAATTCACGTGTTATTACTGCCATTACTGGGTAGTGTCAAATTCGTACATTCAATTTTTCTTTTTTGCCTTTTTTGACCGCTTGCGCTTCCCTTTTATATTGCTGCAAGATAGAAAGATTGCCATACCTTTCTTTACAACTAGGCTGATAGTTGACGGCCAAACTTCTTTCATAAAATCCCAAAGAAGTTCACCAAATTCTTCTCTCCCTGCTTCCAGCTGTTCTCTTTTCGATATCCACATGGACATGGGACGGTCTTCAGCTAATTTTTTGGTCTCGTATGCTCTCTGTAATCAAATATATTTAAAAATATAAAATGAGTTTCATTAACAAATATTTACAGAGTGACCAACTGAAGAAGACACACAGACACTCTTAGACAAAAATAACAAAACAGTTTTTAATTTGTCCAAATTGATCAATAGCAACTGAACTATTCATAGAGCATTAATATCTCATAATTGGGTAGTTCAACAAAAAAAATATTAGCTACGTAAACACTGCAAATAAAACGGGACAACAGCTATTCTGGGATTAAACATGCTGTGCCTCCCGCACACCCATCATAACTTAAAGCTAATTGGGGCTATGGTTTGAACCTTGATTTCTGAAGCCGAGTACGAGTTTAGACAACCAAATTTCATAGAGGTGTCAACTTAAATCCGGAAAGGCGTGAAACATTTTTATATTAAAGATAAAACTTTAAAAAACACATTCATTGATAAATAACACTTACCTCTACGGATTTGGGGAATTTCAGGGCAGCAACTAAAACATATACAACATCGGTAGGAACTCCACAAATACCACCCTGGTTCAATATAGCTAAAATTAAAATATTAGATATTTCAATTTAAAAGAAAGGTAATCTATTACGTACATTAGTATTTTCTTCCATGTGATATATTGATCAAAGAAGACGGGATGATATTAAAAACTAAGTTAAGGTGCATTTTGTGGTGGATATGATTTAAATTTATTGCGGATGGGATTTTCTCTATTTTTATTGCTAATCGCTATTATTTGTGTCTCACCTGCAACATTTTTGACTCCGCTAGCTCGTCTAGCATCTGCCCAGTATGCCTGTTCTCCTTCTGAATGCAGATAGCTGACTTGTACTATAGGTTTGCCCGTAGGAAGAACTGTTCTGCCTGTGATAGCTTTAGTTACAGATGCCAAGAAGCAATAGATGCAGACGATAGCAAAGGCTATACTAATAACAACTTCGTACACTTCAATACCAGGAACCCCCAGGGTGTTTAACAAGAAACTTATAACCACCAGGATAAATAGGATAACTAGAACAAACCAAGCCATACTGATAACAGCAGCTAAACCCAACAATAAGACACCAACTGTTAAAAATCCTATACAACCAGCTGCTGCCGATACGCTGTGGTCAGTCTCCTGGATACCAAGTCCTCTCGCAGATCCCCAAATCAACCAAAGAGAACCGAAGGTAAAAAATGCACAGCTTTCAAAAGTAAGTCCTCTGGCAAAAGACACGGATCCGACTATTAGCTGAGGAATTCCACCAAAGACAATAACCCATGGAAGAACAACAAGACCTTTTGGAACCCAAAGAATCGAAAGCGCAGAGATGGCATTAACTGCGAATCCTACCATATCTAAATCTAAATATTTGGAATAACCTAACATTTGACTGGTGGAGAAGAGGGCATTGCCTTTGCCATTTTCTTTTAGTTTCCCATACAAACAGCCAGCACAGCATCGACACTTCTCTACCAAAAACATCTTCAATTTATCAGCTTCTAGGCATCGGGATCCTATCGGCAACTTGAAAGAGCCATTTTTCATTCTTGTTATATGAGCCATTAGACCGTATAAAGACAGCAGCAAAGACACCCAACTGGTACCTCCAACGAAGGTACCTTTAGATCCATCTACTGCGATAGCGATACAGAATATTGCCATTGAAATATTTTGAAGGACCTGGAAAACTTCTTTAGTCAATGCTACGACTGCAATCAAAAGGAATGTGATGAAAAGAATAACTGAAACTGCTATTAGGGGATAAACTCGAACGAACGTGATGTGCTCAACAGCCAAATTATAACCTATGGACAACCAAAAGACGCCGTGAATCAAAAAGTAACCACCATTAAAAGCATTGCTTCTTCGGACAGCAACAAGTCCGCACACACACTGAAAGAATCCAGCCACTATGACCCAATGGAATTCCTGGTGGGCGCTATCGTAGATTCCTGTGACATGACCAGCAAAAATGGCAAAAGCTACTGTGTTCATAGCATTGCATACAATAATGTAATCTTTGGATACATTTTTATCAAGAGCGTCGGATGTTACAGTATAAGAAATACCAGTACGGAAACGTTGAAGAGCATTGTAAGCAGAATTGTAGAGAGTCAGGGCTGCCAGGAGAATATAATAAGCTGCTGCACTTGCTCGAAGAGGTTTCCACAAAGACGCTAGTTCAAAGACACAGGAAAGTGCGTAACCGAGTGCCAGGACTGCTGCAAATTTAGCTTTGTGTTGCAGACCACCAATGACCAAAAGGATGAATATCAAAAGGAACGCTCCGTAGCCGCCAAATAATGCCTCGACGTCTGTTAGGTATCTGGGTTGTAGACTCTCTGTTACATGATAAACACCAATGGAGCCCCACATGGCGGCAGAACAGATTTGGAATGCTCGTAAAACCGATTCATTGGGATCCTGTGATGTAAAACCTAAAATAAATAAAAATAGTTTATTAAAGGCTCGGTGCGTCATTTAGCGCTATATGAATTCCTTACACATTATAATATTGTGAAGATGAATATCTAATAGGAATATCGGTCCAAAACTGGTTCAATTTCCTTCAGTATACACAAAGATATATTGAATTTAAATTTAATCGATCTATGGTGCTCGCTTTGTTAAAATTCTGGTACCATTTTGTTGTGGGCGAACAGAAAATCTGATTAAATTTTTCTTTTTAATTAAATGTTAAATAATCAATTTGAGTACATATTAGCGTGAGAAATTTGATATGTTAGCGAAAACTGCAATTGACGCATCGTTACTTTAATATATGCAATTACATTAGTAATTAACCAAAGAGAGAAATATAAAAGTATAACCTAAATTAGGTTTACACATTTTCCAGAATGAAAAAAAAAAGTTCTACATATGGCACGACACTAGTCATTTACAATAACACGGTTTAATGACTACAAAAACAGAACTGCTAACTATTTGGGGTTTTTTTTTATTTGACACACACAAAAAAAAGCTTTGAATGAAATAACCCCCAAAATGAATGAAATACCGGAACAATAACGGGGAACAATTTTTTTGTCTAATCTGTGGCTATAAATACATTAACAACATGCATTCAGCTGTTGAGGAGAGGATTATCGCAATAAGCAATTTAAGATGTCAACCATAAGATTTAAACTATAGTTGGCTTTAAAAAATGTATAGTACGATATACAACTTTTCATTATTATATCCTATTTAAAGGTGACGTTTATAGTATTTTTTGAGTAAAAGGAATGTGGTTAATCTGTGAGAATTTCAGTTATAAATCCAATAGGTTACCAAATGTTTAAACTGTGTATTTTTTTTTTTTTTTTTACATATATACGGATGTTTATTTTGGAGGAAATTTAGATTTTACGCCTTTTTTGTGGTTTGATTACATTTTGGGGGAAGTTTTATGAATTGGGAGATCTGTGATGTTTTTTTTGTTAAATGTCACTTTTTCTTGGTGAATATATAATCTTGACAATGACAGGTATTCGGTACAGTTACAAAAAACCTCCATAAATTTTTTTCTGTGGTTTAGTTTTTTTGGGTTTGTTGGAAGAACGGTTTGGAAGAAACATAGGAAATTTCTCACAAGCCTTTAACTGGATAATTCTTTATAATTTATAGTTTTGTATGTGATACGAATTTTAGATTAATAATTATAAGCGGAATTTAGTATTTGGAATAAAATATAAGCGATGCGGGAAAAACAATAACTGAATATTAATGTGGTTTCCAATGACGATTCTCCTGTTCCTGTGCTTTGATAACAGCAAATGAAACCTTGTTGGAAGGTTGCTTCAAGGAAAGGCAGTTACCATTTGTATTACCGCGGTTTCCATTCATGATTTTCGTGTCCCTACGAATTCTTGTTGAAGGAAAAACAGTGTTGCCTAATTTTAAGTGTTGTTTAAAATTCCATTTATGATTTTATTGTCCCTACCGACCCCTGTTGAAATATAGCTTAAATTCAAACCTTAAAATTTATTTTCCATAGAACCCTTTGTGTTTTATTACGATATAACTATTTCTTTTTTTGTAACGGTTATATAATGCGGTGGGTTTATGTGTTTAAAAAAGCACAGATGTAACGTGATTTTAGTTATATTTAGTTGGGTTACGAACCTACAAAAGGGCCACCTAACCTTCATTTTAAACAATTAATTTGTACAAAAACTGAAAGGTCAACAATGAACAAAATGTAAAAAGTATAACTTCCTCGTATTATAAAAGAACTGATCTACATTTTTGGGGGGTGGTTTTATCATTTTGATAAATTTTATAGTTATTAATCATTCAAACTTAAAGGGGTATTATGGGAGATTAGATAAAGAGCTGGCAGTTCTCAATATAATAGTTCAAAACTAGATAATGTAAAGGGAATTTGCTGAAAATTTCAGTCAGAATGGTTCGAAATATTAGCGTTTGAATTTTAGGCCTCGCCTCGCCTCGATCATCCAGTTTTGGATTAGATCATTTATGAGCGTTGAGCAGCAAATTGGATTCAAATCCAGTAAATATCGCAGGCTAGCGATGACACCGAGGGTTGATTATGGTGTGGATAAGTTAATTAATGTCTAATTAATAATTTATATAACATTTCAGGCCTAAAGAAAGGCCTGCAATAGGCAAATTTAGTTGTTGCATAATGTATGTTTAATACATATTATTTAACACATCACGATTCTTATTACTTTATGAATACCTTCGTTTTTCTAGTAGCCTATTGTAGTCCCACCAAAAAGGTTAAATCAAGAGTATGTATTTTATTAAATTACATTTTGGTCCAAAAATTATTCTAATCGTTGAACTTCAGTAAAGGTAATTTGAAATTCACTTTGGTTTCTATTGATTTCACATCGCCATGTTTATATGTCTCTACATTCTTTATTCTTTGACAAATAAAGTAACAATAATTAGGACACATTTTTGCTCGGGCGTACTTATTTACCGTGAATATATTGTTCAATTATTGTAATATTATTGTTCAATTATTGATGCCGCGAAATTCATTTGAAACCTAATTTTTTTTTATGTTGACGATTGTTTTATACATTAATCCTAAAACTAAAAATTGTTCTGTAAATAATTGACCACACAAAAAAAAATAAATAAATAAATAATATAATAAAAAAAAAAATAAAATAAAATAAAAATAGTTAAATCCCCAAATGTTATAAATGATCTAAAAATAACAGCATTTAATGATTTTTTTTTCTTATTTCAACATTAAAATTATCAGCTCAATATCCTCAAAAGTGCCCCCCCCCCCCAAGAAAAAAAATGGCGTCCATTAAAGATCTATTGAAATTCAGGTTATAAAGTTTTCAACATTTGGCGATATTTTAACACGGTGTTGAATATGAAAATAGTGTTCAAAGAAGGTAACAATTATAATTTCAAAGTAAAATACGAAATAAAGTATAACCCGTATAATCTACACTTGTGAATAGTGAATACATAATATAAACAAAGTCCTATAAGCTTCATTTTCAAACCAAGCTAAATATATAAAGAAAATAATATGCCTCTCTCTCCTCAACCCTCTACATTATCGATAGTATGGGACGATTTCATCACGTTTCAAGTTGTTACATCACAACTGAATGAAATAACAACTCTACAATCGCTAGTCTACGGTCATTAATTTAACCACGTTTGAAAGTTTGTACATCACGACGTTATATTTTGTTTTTGTGTTCTTGTCACACCCTTAAAAGATAATAGGATATCTAACTGTTTAGATTGACTAAAGCCATACCATAATACCTTCGCTTATTTATGGACGTTTTAATACTGGCTATTGTGGTCACTGTGAAGTAATTTATTTGTAGGGGTGTATTCGTGTAGAGTGATACCATGAAACCACAAGGGTATTTGTTACAATGGATTACGAAGCGGTAACAGGAAACCAAATTTTGTTTGGCTAGGATTATACAAAAAAACATACAAAAAAACCATACACACTTACTATAGGATAAGTAAACAAAAACAAAAAAACCAAAAACATATCAACACTTACAATAAGTAAATATATATATATATAAAAAACGGTGAAAATGGAAATGAACGAACTGATAAAAAATAGTTTTCCTGTTGTTAGTTAATTATTATAAACCACGATATCATTTGGAATTACTTACTATATACATATATAGTAAGTAAATAAAAGGTAATTTGTACTTACCTAATAACAGGCTGATTATTGATAAAAGTATCAAAGTTATGCCATATGTGACGTTCACTGGAAGTCTGGAAGCCGGTGCCCAAAAGTCAAAAATGCAGACCAGCGTTAATATAACGAAGGCGCAGTAGGAACCGGCGGTTGTAGCGGACGATCGACTGATGGCAGTCATGTCGTGTCGAAATTCTCGAAACAAAATATACTTAAACTTTTACTGTTTTCAACTCTGTATAATATTTTAGTGTTCAAGTGATATTTCAGTCAAGTCGTCTGAATCAAGAACGAGTCGAAGTTTGGTGGTTGATTATAATAAATAGGCGGGATTACCGGATCTGGGCTGGTGGAGGCGGGCTCTATGTCAATACGTCAAGATGACTATCACTCAAGATATATATCTATACCTATTGAAAACTACTGGTGTAGAAAATATAGGCTCGCACGATCACACCTGACTCAGAAGTCGCCCACTGGTCGTTTGTGTCAGTTTCCGAGAAGTGCCGCCGAAGTTTACTTGATACGCACTTCCTTGTCATCTGATTGGTTAAAATAAATCGTTTTTTCGCAATGGTGGTCCGAAGTCGACGTCAGAGAAAAGGCTAATGTTTTCCAATTGTTTGGATGTACATGACCGTGCTTGAAAATATTTATAGTGTTAGTGCATTAGTAATAATAGGACAATCCAGGATATCTTGATATAGCCATGACGTATTATTCATATTATGCTAATTTTTTGAATCATGTGTTTTTCGGAAAATCCTTCTAATGGATGGGAAAAAAATCTATTTTAAACCCAATCGTGAGGGGGTGATCCTGTTACAAATCACTCCACTGTGACAATAGAACACTATATAATATAGATCTAAACATGCTGAATTCATTGAAGACTTGGTGAATGTTCTAATCAACATGGCAAATCTGAAACTTTATTTAGAATATCGGTAGTTACATTCAAGTCTGAATTAATTTATTTTATTTTTCAAAATAAGTCGTCGTGTTAAATATTATTTGTTATTAGAAAGAAGAATATTTTGAGACCGTTTTTAGCTGCCAATATGAAGTGGCTAGACGCTCAACCAGAACTCTTTGCCTCAGTTCTGTACGCAGAACCCGGGGCCCTTGGTTTAATTGCGAACATTGTTGCTGCTCTGATCGTTGCGATCGAGAATATTTGTGAAGGTCCTCTGACAGGAACAGCTCTGGTACTTGCAGGTAATATTTTATATAAATTGTTTAACATATCTTTTTTTGTATTTTGAAATTATATGGACTATGGGAAAGTGTCAATAATCATGAAACATCGTAATTATTTGATCCCAACGGCCCATTTTTCAACAGTGAATGCATATTTGAATTGATATTATGGGCCTAGTTGTGTAAACTCTTGGAACACCTGATACCACTTTCTCTTTAAATTTTCCGAGTCGACTTGCTCAATTTTAATCAATTGGATCTTATATTTGTCAATACTTGTTATCTGCTCGTGAAAAGTATTTTGCTTTTAATTGGCCCCTTTTGGTTCAAAACAATTTTCAAATATTTAACCTTTGAGGGTAGTTAATGTTTACTACTATCAAAGATTAACTTTACCTTTGACCATTGTATATTGTATAGTTTACTTCCTAGATACAACTCATGTATTTTAATTTCGGTGTTTTCTCTGCTTCCTTTCAAAATAATTTGATAAAAAGTATCTAGGACAGAAACTGATTACACGACATTTTATGAGATACATATAAGATAATTACATAAAGTGTATTAAAACTATATAACCTAGAATAATTAAGTTCGAAGATAAAGATAATGTCTTTTTATACCGAATTAAAAATAATCAGAAATCACAATGATTCACAAAGTAATTTAGACAGACCTCGTTTCTACGGTACTGTACGTGTAGTAACGACCAGCGGCTGTAGCAAGCACGAGACAGGAATTGCTTACTATTTCCAGAACTCTTGATACCACTTTACGCTTAGCTCATCTGTGAGAGAGTGTTGTCGGTAGACGAAGCTAACAGTTTGAATTTACGTTGGAATTCAGAGTTTAGAGAATTGTTCTATAATGTTTAAACTTATTTTGTAATCGTTTGTTTTGTTGTATTTCCCAAAGATTAAATTTAGGAAAAGTCCCGTTTGGGGTCGCCGCTACATATCACATCATATAAGTTAAACATCATTTTTAAAAAAAAGAAAAAAATCATGAATTGCAGTAATATTTTGGTTTCTATTTCAACGTTTACCATCATCATATACTATATGATTTTACTATGATTGTTTAACCTAATCGTTTATGTTTAAATCTTTCAAATTACACTTCGATGTCAACTAGTTGCATAAACTCATTATGTTTAGCCTGTAACAAATATATACTACACAATGTCGGCAGGTACTTCCCTATTATTACCAGGTATTAAAATATTTGACGGCTTAACGTATTTGTCTCAGGTCTTAAGGGCAACAGTCACTTTGGGCCATTTGAGCTATCTTAAATATCAAATATCCATATCATATTTCACAGTTTTTTGTTCGAAGATTTTGAATGATAGTTAGAATTTAAATATTTAGTAGGCTAACACTCCTAATCCAAACCTTGTAGCATATGTTGCAATTCTAGTTCAGGAGTTTTTCTGACAAACAAAATAAGCAGTATTCTCAAACACAATATAGTAAAATATATATACATAAAAAAAAAAAACTAAAAAAAAAACTATCACGCCCGAATTCGCATCTAACCTAGTTTTTGGTTTTAATTGTCTGTCTGGAGAACGCTTTTCAAATCTTTTTTTTGTCAAATTTAAATAGGCCCATTGGGGCTTTCACATAAAATAAACGAACTCTTCCGACCTATTAATAAAAATCGAGAGGAAGTCTACACTGTTTTTTCTAAAAAAAAAAAATGGTTGACTTTTACACCTTTGCTTTGATATTTGATTTCAAAGAAATTTAAAATGTCATGCATTGTAAGACTTGTTACGTTCGTGCTCTTTTTAATTTTTTCCCCCGTCTCAGCCCAGTCAGTGCTGAACAGTAAGACGTTAAAACCCCCTTCCATTTTTTTTATTTTGATAAATCAGTACTTGGTCCGTTCTTGAATCACTGGGTCCCGTTTTTACTTAATTGACTAGGATTATTTGAGTTGTTAATTGACGATAGAAACAAATTGCACAATTTTATTTTTTTCATAGTTTCTATTAAGTTTTAGTGGTGTAGTAGTGGCGTAATAGTCGTGCATTGAGTAGTCTATTAATAGATGCTGGAAGTAGTGCATTCGTACTGATTTTTCCGCGTTATCAATGAGCAAGTAAAACAGAACAGAAATATTTCACTTTTGAGATCAAAGAAGCAGCGCGTCTCGGACACACCCAATAATGCTTTGTAAAATGTTTTACTTGTGGTACAAGCACATTCTTAAACTTGTTCTCAATGGATGCTCACAAATCACGTTTTTCCCACTTTTGTACCCAATATTGCTAACATACAAGGAAAATGGCGCGTTCTACTTTCATGTTTTGTGTTTCTGACGTTTCTAAAGCCGTCTTAATCCTGACCTTTCAGTCAAAATATGCTAAACGCCCTTATTGACCATAGCTCTACCCCCAAAAGTATGTTACTAGTACTAGTGTGGGTGGGGTTTTTATTATCTGAAAAAATAACAGACCCGCAGGATATTCTTAATGCGTGGTGCAATTTGTGCCACAATTAAACATATGCAAAAATATGGGTATTTATTATGGTGGCTGAAATCGTTCATTTAGATCGTCGTGTTTCTAGATACAACACCAGCCTTTTCGGCGACCTTTTCGGCGCTCTGGCTTAACGGCGATTCTCGTCTTAGAAGATGAAAGTTAGTTACATGCGCAGTGGCTGCTTTCAGGCTTGACAAAAATGAGAAAAATAAACGAAACGAAATTACATCCTAATTTAATTTAGATTTAGTTACAGTTACAAGTATTTCAACAATGCCGGAAATATTGGCATTCCCCTTGACTGCGAAATAAAGTGTCATAATTTTTTTAAGTAATTTTAATACCGTGTCACACTTTATGTGGTCTTGTGGAAAGTTGTCAAAAAAAAAAAAAAAAAAAAAACCCGAAAAAAAACAAAGAAAAAAACAAAAACACTTTAATATCCGAAATTACCCACATTGTCTTAATCTTGTTTAATACACCCCGGGAGTACAAACTTTAGATGGATTAGCATTGACAGTGATGGCACATAATCGCATTAAACGAGTTTGATATGGAAATCCCCCGACCTCAGAATAAATGGTTAGAAAGTACAAAACAATAAAACTACTTTCGAATGTCTTTAATAACAAAAGTACACCCCTTTCATTAGTGGTCTGAACACTTTAACGTTATCCCAGTGTAACGAACACATCATGCTAAATGACTTCGTAATTTAAGTCTCTAAAATCTAAATATCCTCCCTTATTTTATTCCATGAAATCTCTTTCCAAAAAACATGTGACAGCTATACTCTCAGCACTTCATTCCTTTTAAAATAATTCTAATTTGTACGTCTGCACCAAAAACAGTGCCCGTATGTCGCTATCAAGATAATTAAGTGCAGCATTTCTGGTTCGGAAAATGGCCTGAAACCATGCTCGCATCATGTATTAATTCCTGTTCGAACTTTGTGTCTGCATTATAAATAGGGCGTGTGTGGCACTATTGAGAGAAACCAGTGCAATATTCTAATTCAAATGCTTTTTTGATTGGTATATATTTTGTAGGGCAGTTGTATAACGGGTGTTCTAAGAGACACAGTTGTTCTATTCTTTGTAGACAGTCAATGTTCTGGGAGATATTTTCTGGTCTGTTCATCAACATCTAGGACAACCAAGTACAAACGTCTTTTCTCTTTTCAGGTACTCATCTGATTATTATTGGTGGTATTCTACAATTGATAGCTGGTCTATTGTGTTTTAGAAGAAATGACCATTTAACGGGCACAGCTTTTGTGGTGTTTTCATCACTGTGGATAATTGTGGGAGCGAATTTCATAATGACTCCAAACTTTGACCCGGAAGTACTTAGGGTCGGCGTACTTCCTGGGCTAATTGGATTCATGGCGGTGGCCGTAATCCTATGCCTGTGCGCAGTTACCGTCAACTATATAATGCCACCAGTGCTCGTGGCCTTATTACTAACTCTGATATTCGAAGGAGTTGGATCATTCTATCCATGGGGCAAAAAGGTAGCCGCAGCTTTCGAAATATTTATAGTGTTATCTAGCTCCTATGCAGTGATAGTCATGACACTCAAAGGCGTCAGTCAGCGGTATTTATTGCCAGGTTTTGGTAACGCACCGTTTGATCCCCTGCTCATCAGAACCAAAGCTGCCACTAAGAAGAAGCATGAAAAGAAGAAGGACACTAAGTATGCTGAACCAATGGGAATGGGTTATATTGGAAATGTTGTCCCTGCTGCCGTTCTCGTGTTCCACCATTTAGGTTATTTCTCAGACTTTCGACCAGCGATGCCAATGTTTGTTTTTGGTATCTTCTGTCACATATTGGGAAGTTTCTACGCTTTCTTACGCCATGATCTATTCCATTCCGTACAATTTGTGATATATTTTGTATTCTGGACAACCCGTGCTATGATACAACTGTTCGTGACCTTAGACTACCCAACAAATGATCGTATCGTGTATTTTGGACAGTGGGGCATGGTTGGTATGCTCATTATTCTAATGGTGGTCTCGACATGCCAAAGCAAAGTCGTCTTCCTGTACAACTTTCTCTTTACTATCATGAGCGTTCTGTCGGTGGAACAGATCCCGGTCGCTGTACACAACTACACATTTGGTGTCTCGGCTGCAGTTGTAGCTATAACATCTTTATACGTAGCTATGGCGCACTTGGCCAATTCTATTGCAGAAAAATCAATAATGTTCCTGGGACTTGAAGCAGTTACTGCAGAAAGATTAACTCAACTATTTAATGGCTATTTCGCCAAGTTCAGGTTAGTAACTGCTTTATTTTTCGCTTGATGAATCCGCTAGATTTTTGTAGAAATCTGTTTTGGGGATTTTGGTATTTGTATCTTTAGCACGTTTTTAAATCAATTGATTTATATTCACTTAGGCCATTGTGAAAGCAAATGAAATATTTTATTTTACAAAAACTAATTTAACAGGAATGTTCTTTGACGTGTGATAATATATCTTGGTCTTCGGTCTTCATAATGACCTCTTCCGGCCTCTATAATCAGTCCTGTAGTGAACCTGGTAACATTTAGTAGTGTATTGTATCTTTACTTTTTACAGAGATGGGACAACCAAAAATGATGATTACACAAATGACGACAAAATATCATACAAGATAGTTGATTGTGTAGGTTTGGTATCTAGTGCGCTAGCTCTGTCTTGTCTAGCACCAGTAGAAGCTACGAGTGGAACTTACCCACTAACTGGCATTATTATAGCTGGCGTCTTCCTTCATCTGTTTACTGCCCGTCTTGCTTTTGCTGCTGGAAGTCTTGCTAAATGTTACATCATGGTTGTACTAGCTTTGTTCTGGAGTGTATGGACAGCAATTCTATTTGATGGTAATTATATTTATCTAGTATCTTGTATTTAAAATGTAAAGGGACGGCACAGCATATTTTGAAATGGAGTATTATATCCTTATGTAAATTTTCATAATTGGGCAATAAACTTGCCGTGAGATACATATAGACTTGCATTAAAAGACATATTAGTATGTAGATAACCGGACATTCAAAATCACCGTCAATCAAGTTACTTTCCTCCCCTCCTACATTATAAACAGTTGTTGTTCTTTGATAACTTTCAGATTCCCTGCTGTCTACATTGAGACCTGCTTCCATCGCCATCTTATGTCTACACACGGTTTCCATGGTACTGTCAGCAGCTTTCACTAGAGTCTGGATTCCCTTCTCTCTAATGATGGAACTATGTGCCATATCTCTGGTAGTTAAATGTTTCAACGTCAACCCACCTTGGATGATTCTTGTAACAGCTGTATTAACAGGTAAGAACCTACAGTTTTCTCCAAATTTCCCAAAAGTCCGCAATGTTCCGATAGAGCTTTCTTTCGAACAACAGAACGCAATAGGCTGCATGCTTTAACAATGCACTTGTTCTATTTTCGGAATGGTACGAATTAATTCACCAAGCCGTCCATGAAGTCCCGAAGAATAGAGTGCAATTGGTATTGAATTTGGTCAATGTGCTGCTCCTTCTCTAAGTGATGACCCACACAGTCACAGCTAGTTTTGCCCTGCATATTTTTGCAAGGTATTTGTTTGAGTCTGTTTGTTTTCTTAGGAATGGTAAGATTTACTACTCAAGTTCACGGCCAATATTAATTATTTATCTTCTCTTTCAGCTGTTGTGGCTTTTTACGGGGCGTTTGCTGAGATTGTAAATGGTGTTTTACAAGAATATATCGTTCCTGTTGGTGAACCTATCTTAAAGGTTTGTGTGTTTTTCTTTCATTTAGTACTGTTATTTTTTTATTTTTAAATAATAGTAATATGTATGGGCAGCTTCCTTGTTTAATCAGGAATCCACTAAACACTCTAAATTAAAAATATGTAATATATGTAATGATATTATACTCAAGCAGGAGGGCGCAAACAAAACCGGTAAAATACACCTGCGGACAAGACAAACTACACAGACATTGCAAGAATTAAACAACAAAATATCAATCAAATAAATGGTTGTGAGAAATAAACAACAAAAGGTGGGTTTAGAAAACTAAAACGCTTGATATTGTGTATTTTAGGAAGTTGAAATCAAAGAAGAAAATCAAGAACCACCATGTCCCTTATTCTCATCCCAGAGAACATCGAGTCTGATGAAAGTAGCAGATATATTAGATGATGGTGGTGTAGTTGGTACACCTACTGACACAGTGTACGCTTTAGGTGCATCCTGCAAACATCCCGAATCTATCAAACGAATCTACCATATTAAAGGTCGCCCTCCAGAGAAGCCCATCTGCCTTTGTTTGTCAAATCTTGATCAGCTAGTCGAATCTAATCCAGTTTTCAGTCCGTTGTTGTGGGCTTTCATGAGACGTTGTTACCCAGGAGGAATCAGCTGTGTCGTACCCAAGGGTCCATGGATGCAGAATCTTGGTCTCGGTGATGCAGTTCAGTATGTTGGCACCAAAGAGAGTATCTGTATACGAGTTCCCGATAGTTCCGTCTTAGCATATCTAGTAAGCCTTTCTGGTCCTATTGCTTTGACGTCGGCTAATCCCAGTGGTGGCGCTGATAGTATTCATCACGATATGGTTATAGACTCTTTAGGTAAGAACAGATTTCACAAAATCATTTTGCTGCTGGCTATTTTTCGATTATACAAATGTCCATGAAAATATAAAAACCCAACTCTGTCAGCATCCCTGTTGATGACCATTGGACACAAGTATAGAGTACCAAGCTGCTTTGGTCCAGAATATTGCCCCATTTAGATCCAAGTATATTATCCCAGACAGCAAACAAGAGACCCTCGTATATTAGCTCATTCAGATAACTATATTGGCCCATTCAATTAATAATAGATGCAACTATATTGGCGCATTCAGCTAATGCCATACCCATGGATATGGAGGTGTCGTAAACAAGCGAGTCTGTTCTGTTTCTAGAGTGCCCGATATCACTTCTATTTACTATTTTTGTTATTATTATTTATTGCAGGACATAAATTAGATGGTATAATATGTGATGGTGAATCTAATGAACTGGTAGCATCAACCGTGGTCAACTGTTTAAAAATTGATGAAGGTAAGGGCAACAAAATTATTATAATTTTAAAAAATGATAACACTTACCTTTCTTCAGTTATTTTGTTTATTGGTTGGCCGAGTGGTCTAAAGAGCTTTAGATCATATGGTCTATCGTTACCCAAGGCATGTCCAAGACAAAGAGTGGGTTCGTCTACCCAACCTGGTGGGTTCCGTCCACTGCTAAAGATCCCTAAGGTTTTCTAAATAGCTGATACAACTTTTGCTGGTTATTGTTCTCTTTCTTAAATAGTTTTATCCATTTTTTTTCAGGAGTTATAACTTACTTCAGAATAGGCTGTACACCCAAAGAACGAGTTGATCAACTATTTGAAGATGCTAAGGCTGAAATGAACAATAAATCTAATTCATTAAGTGTGGATGTACCATACACCAAGTCATAATATAAGTCTGATCAATTGTTTCAATGGCATTTAATAATTGAATCAGAAATAAATAGAATACAACTGTGTTGAATACACCTGCTGTTTATTATTAATTATAAAGTAATTAGTATCATGTCAGTAATTTTATTCTACAGAATACGTTCTCTACTAGTCAGTTAGACTCGTATAAAGCACAACTTAAAATACTACCAGACCATACACCAATAAATAAATCTCGTACTAGCTATTGTTTATATTTATGCATGCAGTTTTAAAGGAACAAGACTTCTTTTATTTGGTTTGAGCTATGTGGTATATTGATAACTGGTGTGACAAGCTATATACGATTAAAATTTCACGTTGAAAGAGTAAGCGGAACTCGATCTGTTTACTAATTTTAGTTTCTTTTTAGACTTAAAACTGTCGACTGTTGAAAACAAAGTCTGTTATATATATCAGACTTAATCCACGGACTAATATTTTATTTCGTTTCGTTTTAATGGTTCCAAGCGGAATTTCATTAACATCTGATTTAAACAGGGTTGCATTTTGAATGTAGTGAGTTTATCATCTGTAAAACCACATCATAACACGTCATACAATCAAAGAGGTCATGACCTTAATATTTAGAATATTCGAAAAAGAATTTGTTTTTATATTGGTTTGTTTTATGTCTCTGTCCAATAAACAATAGAAAGTAAAAGCACACGATCTCATATATTTATAGGTAATAAAGCAAATTGAATAGTAACATTTAGAAAAGTATGTATAGTACTCATTATATATAATCTTCATTGTTTCGTATGGCACACTTTAATGCTGTACATGTATCGTATGTTTCAAAAGAGACATTCGTTTCACGGAAATCCCTATTTAACGTGTAAATATTATCCAAATATGAAATGCCATTTCCCAAAAATAGTCAATCGTGCCATGATACACCAAACAATAGTTGTAGCTGATTTCAAAGGTAGCTTTTCTATAAACATTTTAAAATGAAACTTCAGCTAGATCTATAATAATAATAATAATATCTTTATTTTCAAAGTTGTGATTGACTAAAATAAAGGAGAAATATACATTGACTATATTAGGGAAATATATTGATTTGGAAATTTTGTATCTTTTAAAATACCAAAAGATTTCTATTATATTATTAATTGAATTGATTTTTATATTAAATATTACAATGAATTTATATAAGTTATTAGTAGTTATTATTATTATTTATTATTATTATTATTATTATTATATGATGAATAAATGTTGAATAAATTATTCTTTATAATTAAAATACAACTCTTTCCTTGTTAATATTGATCAATGGTCCTCAGTACTCTATTGAACGAATTGAACAAATTGGTTTTTTTTCATTTTTTGTCCCAATCCGCCCCTGGGCCGGTTGGTGCAAAAAAGTAGAACTTTAAATCCTATTTCATTCATTCTGAGTCAACGTCTGAGTATGGGCTGAAATGCACCAAACGCCGGCGAATAATCCTAAAAACCGTCGCGTTAATATGCGTATCAATAATGAAGCAAATAGTCTATTTATTTTAACTGTATGTATTATTATATAAAACGCTTAAAAATCCTACACAAGAAAATACACACATCCAGTTAAAGAAATCTACCATATTTATTTCTTCATTTTGATATACATCAAATCATCAGCTATATAGATATAGCTAGGCGTCTTCAGATGTTATAATCCGTATTACGTCTTGTATACTGAGTTTCAATATCTTCATAGGGTTACCCTAGCTTTCAATATCTTCATATACAAAGCATGTATAGTAAAATTAACAACATATATTATTAACTTTTAATATCATCAGGATAATTTGAAACTTCTAATAAATTATTATCTGGATCTCTGAAATATACGGATATTATTGGCCCTATTGCTCCTGTACGTTCCACTGGTCCTTCTAAAATTGGCACTTCACAACTCTGTAAAATAAAAAGCATTGTATATTTATAACTAAGCCATACAGGGCACGGCTCACCTTGAAATGCCACCAAAGTACTTTAAACATACATTATGCAAGAGCTAAATCTGCTTATTGCATGCCTTCCTGAGGCCTTATATAAATTATTAATTAGACATTTATAATTTTCCAAGGCCATAAACAACTCTCGATGCCATCGGAATTTAGAAAAATGGATAATCTAGACTTTGTTTACTATCGTAGCAACGGTAGCAATGGTAGTTGAGACTCCGCTATTCTCCAAACAGCCTTCAGAATGAAGTAATTTGACAGAAATGTTCAAGATATTTCCTTTCCATTATCTAGTTATAGCGAGAACTGTCGGCTCTTTATCTAATTCTTACATAATGCTTCTTTAATTAACTGATCTAGGGGAATTAATCTCTTAACCATCCTAGAGCGTAATAAATGTTTCTATTCTACATTATCATGATTGGAACTTCTCAAGAATGATCGAGATTGATTAGAGAGGGCAGCCTTCAACATTACTGGCACCGATCACAGACATGAGCAATTACCTACCTTTCAAGAACTTGTTGTAAGTGTGGGGATCTAGTGGTCTAGAGTGTCGCGCTTCGATCACTAGCTGGCCGATGACCTCTGGCTCGCGGTCGTGGATTCGATCCCTGTTGTGAGTGTATGTGGGTTGGAGATATTTAGGGGCGTCTTACTCCGGGTACTCCGGTTTCCTCCCACAAGAAAGACATCTGCGCATGCACTAAGATAATCAAAAATAAGACAACATGTCTGCAATATAACCTTCGATGGAAGTAGGCGTTAAACACTAATAGAAGAAGAAAAAGAAGAAGAAAACATTTCACTCTCCCTGTGTTTAAAGTGATCAAATCGCGTTATTGCGATCTTTGAATCTATTCTTAATAAACTATTAACAATTTCGGCTCCCAACAATAATTACGAGGAACAAAAAATATAAAGGAACCTTCGAAATAATAATAATACTTTAAATGCACATTTAACAGTAACCGTGATGGAAGGCCACGAGACACATTGGTACAGAGTGACGAAAGTGAAATTCATGAAGTCTATTATACCAGCCCATTCCAGACTCCAGTGGTGGCGTGGCGGCCCGTTAGCCACCAGCCACATACAACATGATCATCATCGCTCCATGGCCGGTCCAATACCCCCCCCCCCCCCATATAATGTTCAGCAGAAAAAGGTTTTTTTAGACGAATTGAACAAATTGGTTTTTTTTCATTTTTTGTCCCAATCCGCCCCTGGGCCGGTTGGTGCAAAAAAGTAGAACTTTAAATCCCATTTCATTCATTCTGAGTCAACGTCTGAGTATGGGCTGAAATGCACCAAACGCCGGCGAATAATCCTAAAAACCGTCGCGTTAATATGCGTATCAATAATGAAGCAAATAGTCTATTTATTTTAACTGTATGTATTATTATATAAAACGCTTAAAAATCCTACACAAGAAAATACACACATCCAGTTAAAGAAATCTACCATATTTATTTCTTCATTTTGATATACATCAAATCATCAGCTATATAGATATAGCTAGGCGTCTTCAGATGTTATAATCCGTATTACGTCTTGTATACTGAGTTTCAATATCTTCATAGGGTTACCCTAGCTTTCAATATCTTCATATACAAAGCATGTATAGTAAAATTAACAACATATATTATTAACTTTTAATATCATCAGGATAATTTGAAACTTCTAATAAATTATCATCTGGATCTCTGAAATATACGGATATTATTGGCCCTATTGCTCCTGTACGTTCCACTGGTCCTTCTAAAATTGGCACTTCACAACTCTGTAAAATAAAAAGCATTGTATATTTATAACTAAGCCATACAGGGCACGGCTCACCTTCTTCGTTTCCTTATATACGATATGCATTTGTTGAGCAACGGTAGCTCATTAAGTAAAGGCAATGGCTCACTAACGAGGACGTCCCTAGTTTGATTCCGGCGTGGGTCGGGAAAGTTACTTGGGATTTTCCAGTCTGGAAAGAAACAGCATCTAGTCGTTTGGATGGAACAAAAGCTGAGGTCCCGTGAACGACCGGGGGCCCGTTTCACGAAATTTTAATTAAGATAAAATCCAAATTTAGTAATATGATTGGATAATATTAGGTTGATTTTAGTGCTTAGCCTATTAAAATTGAAGTATCTACTAAATTTTGGATTTTTCTTTAGTTATGATTTAGAGAAACAGGGCCCAGGGTATTAACCAAGTATATTCTGTTCTGCCACCCTCAATAACAATATAATTAGCACGTATTGCTGTGTCATTGAAATAATGTATACCTTTAAATGTTGTATAACTTTGTCTAGTTTTGTTTCTGTTATAAAACATACATCAGCTGAACCGGGAGTAGGCGTAAATGATTTAGGTTCCAATTCTTTACCATGTTCATGAATATTAATCTTTTGTTGACCAAATGTCATCGCTTTTCTTCCTCCCTGTACCAAATTGAGAAATTTTTACATATTAACAATCATCCTAATTTAGGAAGTGACGTAGTGTCCAGAAAACCGGATACCACTTAGTGTTGGGGCCTGGGGGGAGTGGTCTAGTGGTTTTACGCACGTGCGTGAAACCATAATGTCTGTCATTGGGGCATCAAGTGGCTTGGTTTCGATTCCCCGATTGTATGCGACAAGGAGTAGGTCACCTGTCCAACCTCATAGGGTTTCTCCGGGTCCTCCGGTTTCTTCCCACTGCTAAAGACCCATACGCGCAAGTGAATTGTTGTTTTGTGGAAATGCGGTACGTTCTCGTGGCTTATAGCTTCGTGTTCATCTTGCAATTTTGATTTAGTATTTTCACTTTTTGCTTCTTAATTTTGGGTACTGTGCGTATCTGTCCCGCAGTTTTGTTTAGCGTTGTGTGTTAAAAGGTTGAGATGTCAAATGGATTTACGAAATAGACGTCACATGACATAAACGTCGAGAGATATAAACCAAACGTCACAGTTCAATCGGAACACGTAAATTTTCAATGTGACATAAGACTACTTATCGAAATACCATGCCTTTGTATAATAAACCAGTGATTGCTTTCCCATGAGGTTTTTAGTGTTATTATATTTCCAATCGCTAACTGCCACTAAATGATTATATGAATACTTGCTTTAAACGTTGTGACATCCATTCCTAGTACACGTGTATAGAAGTCTACTGTCTTGTTGATGTCTTTAACCGTTATAACAATATGATCAAATCGACTAATCGTAAACCCATCTTGATAGCTTCTCAAACTCTGCTCACACAAATTCTGAAATAATATAAATAAATGTTTAAAAATCTTGGGAAACCGAGAAGGAAATGAAATGGGGATTTAACGTCTTATCTTTATGCTCCAGTCTTGCTAATTGATGTTGGCATATGTCATGCTGTTTGGTAAAAGAGGGTCGGGGGGATTTTGCCCTGACCGCGGTGCTTCGATCTGCTCTTATTTCGATTCCTAAATTTCGCCGGATCTTTAATATGTTGCTAATGGTATAATATAAGGGGGCCTCGTTTTTTTTCTCCCGCGCGAATGACTAGAGGATTTTCAGCACTGACCATAGCGGAAGCTAGGCTATAAAATCTCCAGGAACATTTTCGACCAAGGTGGGGATCGAACCCGGGACATCTTAGTTTGTTAGCGAGCGCCACCATAGCTCCTAAACCGAAATGGAAAAAATCACTGTATAACAGACTAATCAGCAATTGCTCTATAAAATTAATGAACCAATTACTGTCTATAAATAACCCATTAATCAATTTCAACCACTATGGATATAGTCCACTATTTAATTTGTAGAGTTCCCAAAAACGTGTATCGAATTGAATATCTCGCCCACACAATAATTCGTTCATTTTGAGACAAACAATTGGTGATTTGTATTTCTATGGCCCCGTGTGTATTGCGATTGTGGGCGGGGGGGGGGGGGTGCTAGGACAACGGCGATTTCCTCTACACTTCTTTGATTTCCAACTGCCAAGGGTTCTTTTTACCTGCCCGGCCCACACAAGTATTGGAACCAGAGACATGTAAGTTGCGAGTCCATTTCTTTAACCATTCGACTACCACGACTGGGGCGTAATTGCTATTGATATCTGTGTTAATTTTTGTATTAAATCTAATCGGCTGGTGACTCGAGACTATTATATCCGGACAATCAATAACACTTCTTTACAAAATGCAAGCGCTACAGGGTTTCATAAATGCAGTAGTTAAGCCCATTTGTTTGTCGTCATCCTACCAGTTGTTCTTGCGCGTTGGAAGTTTCATCCATAATAATCCGTTGGAAGTGGCTGAATAGAGTTGGATTCTTCGGCAAAAACTATAGCATAATAGGTATTTTGTTCAAAATGGCGGATTTTCAGGTCTGCAGTCAGCTACAATACAGTGGCTAATGGGGTTAGCATTAATGTCTCTCCACTCGATTATTTTATTTACATGGATGATCACGTACATTCCAGGTCAAATTACGCGCGCTTTATGAATTCTCAACGACATACATCAGAGTAAAATTTAAGGCCAGTGTAATTCTACATGGGACACAGATAATATAGAAATTAATTCATAGATACCTCAGAGAACTTTTTTTTTTGCCAGTTATGAGCATACGCACACATCATACCACGTTGCTTTGATGTATTTTACTTGGGCTGTCACAGATTTTTTTCAGCCTACGCGTTATAAGAATCATCATTACTTTATGCCTTTCGTCCCAATTTTAACAGAGTCTCAGAAATAAAAGTCTGTGCGCGTATAAAATTTAAACACCAAAACCTGGAGGAATAGTGTATTTATACTTGACAAGTATTTTGACAAGATTGAGATGAGGTTCACAGCTGGAGACTTCACCACAGCTTGGCAGAGACTTGAGGTTGGAATACTAACGGGGTGTACAGTATCAGTAGTCCTGTTTGCAGCAGCAATGAACTTGATTGTAAAATCAGTAGAAAAACCAAGTAGAGGACCATTATTGTCATCAGGGGTCAGGCAACCACCAGTAAGAGCTTTTATGGATGATATGACAGTGACAGCAAAAACAGTCATAGAGGGAAGATGGACTTTAGAGGAATTGGAAAGGATGATTAAGTGGGCCAGGATGAAGTTCAAACCAAGTAAATCTAGAAGTTTGATAGTGAGGAAAGGCAAAGTGCAAGATGAGACATTTGAGTTAGCAGGTGAAAAGATACCAACAATTGGAGAGAAACCAGTGAAATGCCTAGGTAAAAAGTTTGATGCAACACTAGCAGATATGGTAAACATGGGTGAAGTTCAAGTGCAATTGGTAGAATGGCTGACGAAGATAGACAAAAGTGGGCTCCCAGGAAGATATAAGGCCTGGATATATCAACATGGGGTCTTACCAAGGATATTGTGGCCACTACTAGTTTACGAGTTCCCATTGTCCAAAGTTGAGGCCTTAGAGAGAAAGATCAGTGCATGCCTAAGAAGATGGTTGGGTGTGCCAAGAAGTCTCAGCAGCATTGGATTGTACAGCACAGGAACAAAGCTACAATTACCAATGAAGGCATTGACAGAAGAGTATAAAGTTACAAAGACAAGACAGGTTATGACGTTGAGAGACAGCAAAGATGCTAAAGTGAGAGGAGCCAAAGTAAAGATCAGGACAGGAAGAAAATGGAAAGCAGAGGAAGCAGTTAAGGAAGCTGAGACTAGGCTAAAGCACAGTGTCATCGTTGGTGTAACAGCAGTTGGTAGACAGGGATTTGGTATGACAACAAAACCAAGGTGGGATACAGCAAATGAGAAGGGACGGAGGGAACTGGTGCAACAGGAAATACGACAGATGGAAGAAGAGAGTAGGAATGTTAAGGCAGTAGGAATGAAACAGCAGGGTAGTTGGTTGAACTGGCAAGGAGCGAGAAGCAGGGTTTTGACCTGGAGCGAGATTTGGAGTATGGAGGGATACAGATTGAGTTTTCTACTAAGATCAGTGTATGATGTTTTACCAAGCCCATCAAACCTCTATACCTGGGGGTTGATAGAAGACCCAACGTGCACCTTATGCAAAGACAAACCAGCATCTCTACAGCATGTGTTGTCAGCATGCCCAGTCGCATTGAAAGATGGAAGATATACATGGAGGCACGACAGTGTATTGAAAACAATAGCAGCAAAGTTGGATACCACCAGGAGAAAGAAGAGAAAGATGCAGAAGAACATCACATTTGTAAATTTTGTGAGGGCTGGAGAAAAGAAAGACATCCAGGCAGAAGGTTTAGGGATACTTGGAACAGCATCAGACTGGCAGATGACAGCAGACATACATCAACGCATGAGTTTCCCAGCAGAAATAGCAGCAACATCGCTAAGACCAGATATAGTCATTTGGTCACAGGGAACTAGGCAGGCGGTCTTGCTGGAACTGACAGTCCCATGGGAAGACAGAATAGAGGAAGCTTATGAAAGAAAGATGGCAAAATACCAGCAGCTAGTAGAGGATTGCAAACAGCGGGGATGGAGGACGTGGTGTTTGGCAATAGAAGTCGGATGCAGGGGCTTTGCAGGACAGTCAATGTGGCGGGCACTTAGGACCTTGGGAGTAGTAGGAGCAGAGAGGAAGAAACTGATTACAGAAGCGTGTAGAGAAGCAGAAGTGGCATCACAGTGGATTTGGAGGAAAAGAGACGAAGTGTGGAAAAGTACAAAGTGTTAGAACAATGAACATTTACTGTGTAGATAATGGACAGATTTAGATATACAGAACAGCATTCAGTTACAGAAGAACAGCAATGACATCAGCTGAGACATCGGAGCCGTGTAGGCCATCCAGTTCCAGGTTCAGATTGATCACCTGAGCCGGCGCACCTCTGGAGGTTGTTGTGGATTAGCGCCGAAACAGCCAAGGAAGGAGGACCCCACCTGATGATGGAATTGGATTAGCATTCCTTTGATGTTTACAAGGTAGTCGCAAAATTTCAGCTCAAAATATTGAGTTGTTTGGACGTGAACGCCAAAACCGCTTATCCGGACACGAAACCCTTTTAAGATTTCGGGTCATTTTTTTTTTTTTTTTTCGTTGGGTAACCTGATAATCTATCGCCGTTCCTTTACAGGTCTAAACAGTGCATGACCCACGTGCTGTACTTGATAACGAACGGTAAATTTCACCTAGACATTAGTTTTATAAAAAAAAGTCTAGTTTTATCCAGACACCGTATAATACAGCTTGGGACACCAGTCCTCATTTCCAGATGCAGACTGACTGGTTTTATCCAGACACCGTATAATACAGCTTGGGACACCAGTCCCCATTTCCAGATGCAGACTGACTGGTTTAAGTTATTTGGAAACGTATCACGTATATTGAGTTAGTTACTCGTCCCTACGGTAGAGGATATTAAGAGCTTTTAACATAAATTTAAGCAGTTTTATTCTTCAAAATATAATTGAGATTGGCCCTTTAAATACTGAACCATTAAAGACAAATCCTTCTAATCTAATTTGCAAAATGAATTGAAATGACTGGGCTAATGAAGATGGGCATACGCCATAATATAGTGTACTATAAGGGAAATTTTGCCTACCCTTATATCGAATTCCAACTGCCAATTAGGAATCTTTTATGTGCACGCCAATGTGTACTCGGGACCCGGTTTTTCGTCCCATCCGAACAACTAGACAGATATCCTTGGCATACCCACCGTCCTACACCACTGACAAGGGGAAACCACGTGGGCAAATCCAATCTAATTTGACGCCTTACATGCAATAGTCTTTATTATGGAAGCCTATAACTACCATTCATAATTTCTACTTTTCGCCTCTTCAGAACACGAAAGTCGAAAAGTCGAAAAGTAGAAGTTACGACAAAATGTGAGGCGACAAGACGGTATACAAGCCAAAATCAACTCGAAAATGGGAAATTAAGAAATAATACACCGCGATAATAGCGCAATTTCCGTTAACAAAAATGTCTGTGTGATAGAGTCTAGTAATGATGGCGATTATTTTATTATCTCGATCAAGCTTAGATTGTAAGTTTTATAATATTATTACTGACGGCTGCATAAAATTTTCCGTAACATAGGGATCGAGATATTAATAAAATAATCGCCATCATTACTAGACTCTATCACACCAACATTTTTGTTAACGGGAATTGTGCGTATTCAAATGTGACCTGCAAGGCAGAGACTACAACAACTTCCTAGGCGAAAAGTAGAAAAGTCGACAGTACGACAGATCATAGGTCGCTAATAGCGCAGTGTGTTAATTTCCTAATTTCTACTTTTCGAGTTGCATTTTGGCTTGTATAGCGTGTTGGCGCCTTCTTACTGACATCAATAAATACAAAAATATGATTAAGTCGAAAGTCGACAAGACGGTATACAAGCCAAAATGCAAGTCGAAAAAACGGGGGGCGCTATTATCGCGGTGTGTTATTTCTTAATTTCCTATTTTCGAGTTGATTTTGGCTTGTATACCGTCTTGTCGCCTCACATTTTGTCGTAACTTCTACTTTTCGACTTTTCGACTTTCGTGTTCTGAAGAGGCGAAAAAAAGTAGAAATTATGAATGGTAGTTATAGGCTTCCATACTTTATCGACTAGAATCTTCCCGTTATACCAAACCTTGCGTGGGCTGAGAAAAAAAATGGGTTTTTTCAAGCCTGCTTTTCACTTGTAATTTGTAGCGACCGCTAGGTTGAAAAGGAAAATTGCTGCCTAGTCTTTCGGATTGGACAAAATACAGAGACCCACCCGTGCAAGTAAAAGAACTCTTGGAATTCAATGAAGAGTACGTAGCACTGCATATATAACCACAGAGTCTGGCAAGGGACAACGTATAGTTTTTCGGATGGAACGAAAAACCGAGGTCCCGACTACACATTGATGTGCAGTTGGCATTTGAAATTCGATATAAGAATAGGTCGTAGTCCAGTCGGAGCAGAACAGTTAAACCTCCAGTTCATTTCATTTCATATAACCATAGAAATATATTTACGAAAACCCGTGTGCCGTGTGAAATTTGACGAGGCACGTAAGAAGACACGTATTGCAGTTAACTCGAACTGTCTTGTCAAACATGAATGCATCTCTCACATTGCATACGTACCCATGTTAAACCCAGAATATTGAAAAATATCAAACACAGATGTATAACTAGATATAAAAGAACATTTTTCGTTTCGTTTCTTTTAATTGTAAAAAAAAAACAACCAAAAAAACCCAAAAACGTGGAACAATTAAAATATGCTGTTCAATATGAAACTCTATCGATAAGAATAATTTTATAGTCCTAATATTAATCTTCGTTATGAAGTAATTGCGTTTGGCCTGATACTCGGCTAACTTGCTTTGTTGTTGGTTTGCAAGTAAATCACGTGACAACACAGCTTTATACAGGTAGCATTTGAATATGACCTAAATCATATTTAGCCATCGTCAATTTGTATCAAATTGAACTATTTGGTAACCCGATAGTTGCGTTATAACAACACGAGTGTATATAATTACTTACTCTGAATAATAAATGATTTTGTCGGCTAAATAAACGTGGAAACATGGCGTGCATTAGTTGACTGGCTGTCCACTACATCAACTCTGTTTTACTTCCCGTTTACTTTCTGCTCTGAACAAATATAACATTTGGGATTTCCCTTCTGATAACAGTTTGTGTTCTATTTTTGCAGAGTCCCTTTGACTTGGAACCTTTTTTATTTAAAAAATAAAATAAAAGTTGGGCAATGTGATATTTAATTATGTAATAATATTGGACCAGGCAAAAATAAATGTCCACGAAAATTGTCTCAATATTGGCTTATTTTGCGTACTTAAATACTTCTCAAAACAAATCAGTGAAATTTACTTAAAATATAATGCTTTATTGGCCTCCATAAGCTTAGTACACATCAGCAAACCTACATTATGGCCTTGGCAGTGTCACTGCAACAGGGCGGGGGTTCTGGAAAGGGACAATAACCAATCGTACGGATGGAACGAAACACTGGGGTCCCGTGTACGCGTTTGCGTGCACGTAATAGAACCTTCGACAGCTGGAATTCGAACTTCCCTGGTGACACGCTGCATATGCCTGTCTTCATAGTGGGGCGTTAAACTAAATTTCATTTTGTTTCATTTTTATTATGGCTAAACATCAGTGCTTTTCATTATTTTACAAAATAATCTTTTGTTACAAATTATTTTTATCTTCTAATTGCAACGTCTGACTGAAAATAACGACTCGCTATTATCGCATAATAAAACAGGTCTCAATGTTTCAGTTAATATAATGTTCTCAACTAATAGAACAGTCTTCATCTGTTCGTGTCGTAAGTCATGGATGCTAGATGAATTTTCGCCAGATGTAAAATACCTAACCATGTCTTGGCTGTTGACAAAATAAAAACTCCACAAACGTGGACAAAGGGAAGCAACTCTTATATAGATTTTGCTTCAAAGTCGGATTAGCCATTCCAATTTGGCTGATTTGCAGGACTGAGGGTCCCTTCAGACCCCCTTTCATTTGCATTCATTGCCAAGCCCAGGCCATCTCAACTATGAGCTAATGATGAAGGGATTGCTGATACCATTCCAGGTTTAAATGCTGGGCCGTAACTAGCTCAGAGCAACGAGGGGTGGGAAGTGTTCTCAGGGGTGCTGTAATATTGATGGACAATGTATATCTCTTTTTTTATGGTCGAAAATTTTTTCACACGGGGGGGGGGGGGGCAACACTTTTTGAGCCCCCCCCCACCTTGCGCCCCCTAGTTACGGGCCTGTTTAATAGTAGCCCTTAGAAAATATTTGAGCTTGGTGTTTCGGTCACCCATTGACACTGTATATTATGGTCCATGGTTTACCAAATAGGCCCTATAAAGAATTATCCGAGAGCCATGGTGTTACCCATGAAAGCCTATATTATAAGTGATCTGTCGAGCGCAGCAACAGATAACTGCAGGAGCTTTTAAAGAACGGAAGAATTGTTTGATATTGTACAGTGTGAAGTATAACTATGATGTATGAATTACCAGCTCCAATAACCTGTTTAATGTGCTATTTATAAATTTGGTAATTTGATGCAAACTGGAAGGGTGCAAGAACTTCATTTACCCCAGTCTGGTGACTTCAAAGGGGATCCGGTTGCTCATTAAGTAAGACGTTGGTTCCCTTATGGAGCTCACGTGATCGATCCCGGTGTTGGCTGATCGAAATGTCACCCTAACCCTAAGTTGTGCGGGATGGACAGCCTAGCAATGACACTTTATAGTCGTTCGGATGGCACGGAAAAACATGTACATAAAAGAATCTTTGCATTGGAATTCGAAAGAAGAGAAGGTCGTAGTGCAGCTGTCCTGGCAAAATTTCGCTCGAATCGCGCTGTATGCGATGGCGTCTTACAGCCCAGTCGGTGCAGACAGTAGGACGTTAAACCTCATATCATTTCAAATGCGTGCATTTAGGAACCTGTTTTTACTTGCTCCCGTACATTGTTATGCTCCCGTAGCAGAAATCGGGAGTACTAAATATATTTTTTATTCTTTTGCTTGGTTGTTATTTAGTTTAAATACGAACGTGAATATCTCATACAGTAGTATAAAAAAGGGGAAAAACACATAGCAGTGACGTGCATAATTTGAAGGGTAATATAATGATTTTTCGGGAAAATATCAACTTTTTGCATTTTAGATAGTCGGTAAGATAAAGTCCCCGAAATCAAATGACTTATGCGATAGTTTGGGGGCATCGATCATTATCTATATGTATTTTAAATTTTTTAATTTTTCTGGAGTCGTACATTTCTTTAAATTGACTAATGGATAAAAATTTAAAATCAGTATAATAAACAGTGTCTAGTGTTACTCTAGAGAAGCGAATGCTTTATGCACATTTTTTTTTGGGGGGGGGGGGGGTCACGATCATTACCCGGTATTTATTATTTGTTTCATCAATTCGTCGGCAAAATCAAGTGTCCGAAATCTCTGGTGTCATGGTGAATGCAGCTGAACCAGTCTTATTGATTGTTTGGTTGGGGTTCAAATTGCCAAGCCATATAAATAAGGTTATATTAACCATGCACTTTCAACTTTCAAGTTGCTGTATTCACGGGATGAAATAGAGGGGAAGCGCAAAACCCCAAATGAAGCACGCTTTGCGTCATAGATGCTGGTACCACTCCACCTACCCCCCCCCCCCCCCCCCCCACACACACACACCAGTCGAATTCATGTACGCCTATGCAGGCACAGGCAATGGATATAATAGCTATCGGTCAAGTTCTCATCCCGTCAAGATCGAAATTGTTTCCGCGCTTTCAACCTGCGACAAACGATATAGGCTGCACCAATGACATCATATATGGACCTTACAATAGATAGGGTTACTGGCGATAGTTTGTAAAAATGGGCAAGAACAGCAATAATTTATCAGAAAAAAATAAGTTCGTCAATCAAAGACTGAAAAAGGATAATTTAATAAAATAATAAAAAAATATGAATTAAAACATAATCTAGACTAGAAGACTTTATACTTATTTTCGACTTATGGATAATCTTCCGATTATTTAAATATTTATTAAAAAGAATATAATCGCTTTGGGATTTCTAATTATCGGTTGCGGTAGATTATTCATATCGCCATCGGTTTGTTTGTAAACAAAGATTTTTCGGCTCGAACAAGGGAAATCCTCGACGGAAATGACGTGTTATTTAGTCATGTGATCAACATCCGGGCAACTTGTTGGTAAGGACAAGCCAAATTGTGAACATTTGTGTTTTGTGTACAGGTCAGGGAGTTTTCCCTGTAAATATCTTTTCTGTTTTAAGTAAGTATACATATAAAACAAATGTTTTACTCGTAGACCACCAATAAACAATTATAACATGTAATTGAAGTGTCCTATAATCTGAATGTTATCATATTTTCCATATTACTAAACAACAAAACGTGGTTTCGCTCAGCCATTTTCATAGAATAGAACTCAATCGACATCGTTCAAATGACGCATTTGATTATATTATTGCAAGAAATAAAGGATGCCAACCTGTTTGATTTATCATGTTTTTCCTTTTTAAAAAATCTTATTTTTAATATTTAATGTTTAAGCCTCTTTGGTCAGTATTCAAAATAATTTGACTGCATTTCACATGAGTATGTATTACTTCATCACGATCTATTAATAAAAATATAGTATAGACCTTTTTATGATGACTAAGGAAGTAGAAATAAACTATATCTGGTTGCTGAAATGAATAGTCTTTCTTTTTGGTGTAAACTAGGATAAATTAGTTTGTTTCAGGTAACATTCATTATAGAAACATTGATAATGGTTCACCTGCTAAATTCAAATTCCGATCTTCTAAAGTTTTATTTGTGCAATTTACTGTCATGATTAGAATTTGTACAAGTTTCGCAGTGTACTGTACTGTCATTGATATCAACATATATTGTTTCGTAACTTGACCTGCTCTACCCTTTTCCCCCCTTTAGTAGGGATGGTTTGTTTGGGTTTGCTGCGTGATTTGTGTGTTGTTGGGATACTATAATTAATAGTAATATTAATTATGCCAACTAGCTGAACTAGTGGAACAATTTCATAAGCTATAAGCTTACGCTTACAGTTAATTTAACTGGTGGACATCGAATCCCGGGTTGTACGTGACGGGGAGTAGAGTCGCCTGTCCAACCTCATGGGTTTTCTCCGGTTTCCCCCCACTGCCAAAGAACCCTACACACAAGCGAATTATTGAAATAAAATTAAACCATATGTTAGTCCCAAAATGACCTTGTTTGTGTCGAGTGGAAGTTAAACCCCATTTCTCTCTCTCTCTGGTAGACATCTTCTTTTACTCAAACTTGGTGAATTCATTATATAGCTAAGCTACTGTATGAATAATTTTTGCCATTCTCCAGTCCTAATGTTGTGTCCTGATTGTCAGTTTTGGTGTCTTTATTAGAAATAGAAATGTTTCCATTATCTACATGGATAATAGATTAAAAATATCAGTTTTTTTAGACTGCTTGGATGACTGCGGTATTTAATGTTAAAAGAAATACAATAATGCTTAGAAAAAAAAAACCATCCCAACATTTTAGTTGTATCGATTATTGGAAATCTATTCGAATTTTGACTTTGAATACGGTATTAGAATAGAAATATTGACTTCTATGTGTTAGTTGTTTTATGTGTATTTTTCTCTTTATCTAGTTTGTTGTTGCTTCCCAGTCCTTCTACAAAATATTTGTCAGTAATGTCGGACTCGAAAGATGACAAAGGGGAAGATGAGAAGATCTATGGTGGGTGTGAGGGTCCGGATGCTATGTATGTTAAACTGATATCTTCAGATGGTCATGAGTTTATTGTAAAGAGAGACCATGCATTGACCTCAGGAACAATAAAAGCTATGTTGAGTGGTCCAGGTATAATATTTTGAGATATTTAATATTCTAATTTGACATATCATTGTATACATGTGGCACAAGCAGGGATGTAGATGTTTGGTTTCAATATATAAAGACTGGACAGATAATTGCTGCATGCTGCATAAGTTTATCAATTAATGCTAACACTCCTATAAAAAAAAATATGGACCTCCCTATTCTGGAACCAGTGCCTTGTTTGGATCACAAATCCAGAAGTCTCGGGTTCAATTCTGGTGTTG